GTCAAAAATAGGTTTTAGGAATGTTTTGGGTCAGAATTAGTGTGCACCGGTCGACCGGTGATAGTGTAACTCCACCGGTCGGCCGGTAGAGTGATGACCGGTCGACCAGTGGGGATGTTGCAGGCTGAGAAAATGGCCGATCCGTAGGGAAAAACGCCAAAACCTACATTTTCGGGCTCGATTTCAATATAATTTAATGGGGATTCATCAAAACCAGGTTCCAATTACTAAATCAAGTTCAAAGAATCAAAAACCCCCAAATTTTGTCATGGTTTTAACCATAGTTCATTCAAAATCAAACTTAAATCAAACTCATCAAAACCCAAATCAAAAACCAGATCACTAAGAGATGTCACGCCTCGGGGCAGGGGTCGGTGATGTGGAGGCTCAATTAGGGGTTAAACGTGATTAAGCGTAAAACATTAAGGAAATTCCCAAACGAGCCCCACATTTAGTAAAAATTAAGTTATACAGTCCAGGGAAGAGACTAAAACTCAAGCCTCTAACGCTGTTCAGGGCTACACCTATAGGATCTATTCACAGAATCTTCAGTATCGTACTTACATGACACGTAAATAAAACATTACAGACATCAACCACAGTCTAAAAATCCAAATATCATAATTTACTAAATTTACAAATTCTTACATTCATGCACCAGGAGGATGAACACAATCCTCTCTTAATCAGGTGGTAGCAACTCAGCTACTCGGCACTGCTCCTAGAGTTGCCTGGGAGGGGTTTAACATTTATAAAATAATAAAACGTGAGCAAAAGGCCCAGTAGGATATATTTTAGAAATAGCTTTATAAACAATTAAATAAATGAGTAAATAATGAAATAAATGTAGACATTTAGTTCCAACACAACAGCTGGAACCTCACATCCTTTTTCTCAGAAGAAATATAACTGAAAATCTCCGTATTACAGGCATCAGCAGTAATTTATACTATGATAAATTACTTACACAACCAAGTGCACAAGCCATATCACCCCGGGCCGGGTTTCGGGTCCTGCCTCTAAGGACGCACTCTCCACATCCTATCTAGGCCATTAGTCAGTTTACCGATTTGCAAGATCTCTTATCTTAAGAAATCATTCATTAAACTTTATGAAACAGTTCATTATACTCCCCAGAATCTACAACAAGCCATGGGGAAAAAAATATTTTTCTTTCACAAACATGCCATTTCTTTAAAACATTTGCAAGGCCAAAATCCTTTTGAAAACAGGCTCACAAAGAAAAAGGTAAGAAATCCTACCTCATAAATATCAAACCTGACTAGTGTTACTCTATTCCGGCTTTCGCTTCCTCAAGCCCCTCAATCCGAGTCCTCATTTAGCACTGATACAAAACCACACTTTAGGGTCCAATTCACATTCCTAAAGCAATTTCAATCTTAATTATACCATTTGATTTCCTATTAGTGTGCCTTAATCAATTTTCAAGTTTCATTAATCAACTCATGTTTCAAATCATCATTCCAAGGGGTTTCAATATCAAAACATGGATTAAAGAAGCTAATCCATTCACTTTAGGTCCCCAAATGAAGCAAATTTGGGTTCTCCTCAAAAATTGAGGTCAAAACAGGGTTTTTCAACAAAACAGGGTCAAACCTAGTATACACCGGTCAACCGGTGACAGCACAGTGTAACACCACCGGTCGACCGGTGGTGTATAATTCGGTCGACCGCATAGGTCGTCCGGTGGGATTAGTGCAGTCCGGTCGACCGCACTGGTCGACCTGTGGAAAACAACAGGGTGAAGAAACTCACCAAAATCAGTCCGAAAACTTACAAATATGAGTCCAAATTGAAATATCTCAAGGGAAAACCACTAGATCCGGGTTCTAGGTACTAAATCAAGTCCAAAGAACCCAAGATCTCCAATTTCTACCATGGTTTTACTTAAAATCCATCAAAATCCATTTCGAACCAAAATAAGTTTTTAAATCTGAAAAACTTGAGATTCAAGAGAGGTTTTTCAGAAATCTTACCTTGAATCGATATCTTGACGTTGAAAACTTCTTGAAATTTTCCTTTGTTTCGAAATCTGGTTGGTTTGAGGCAAAACAAGAGAGAGAGAGAGTGAAGTCGAGAGTGAGAGTGAGAGAGTGAGAGAGTATGCACGGGAGGAAAGAAAGGAAAAGGAAAAGATAGAAAAAGAAAAAGGAAAAGAAAAGAAAAGTGGACAGGTGTCAAACATTTAAAATAACAGTCCAGAAATGTGTCCATACACACTTCTGGGTAAAAATGTAAATACTGAGAATATTTAAATACCTTGAAATTATTTAAATGTACTCGTCAGAAACATTTATTAAATGATAATAAATTAATTAAACCAGATTAGGCACACTAATAAATCTCAATTACCTTAGTTAATCTCACTTAATTCTTCGGGGTGTTACAAGAGAAAATCCGAGATCAAAAGTAAATCTTCCAGAAATCTTACGTTTGTGAAGAAAAATATATTGAAAATCTTTAGATTCAAGTCCAAGTCTAAGATCCCTTTGCTTTTTGACTTACTTGAGCAAAAAGGGCTGATATTTTCTCTTGTTTTTCTAGAGGGAGAGAGAGACGAGGTTGAGAGGAAGAAGGAGAGAGAGAGAGAGAGATACGGGAGCAGGGAGAGAGGGACGAGAGAAAGAGAGAAAGAGAGAGAGTGAGTTCTAAAAAAGAGTGACGAGAGAAAATGAGAGAAAGAAAGAAAGAAAAGAAATATAAGGAAAAGAAAAAGAGGGAAGTATGTATTCCCACATACTTCCGGGGTGGAATTGTAAATATGAAAAATAATTAAAGTTTCTTAAAAATATTTAAAATTTAAAGATGAGAAAATATTTAATAACCATGATTAATTAAGAAAATCAAATTAGGCACACTAATAAATCACAATTAGCATAATTAAACATGTTTAATTCTTCAAGTTACAATGAATAGGGATACATTTAAGAATAATTACCATCTCTAATGTAAATGCTAATACCAATTGTACATTTAGTATCAAAAAGTGTGATATGATATGTTATTTTCATATTTACTCCAATGCATAATGCTATTTGAAATGCTAAATCTACTTTTTTCCATTATCATTAAAGGAATGTTTGGTACATAAAATCAAAACTCAAATCATGATTCTGCTACAGTGTTTTTCTCTCACAAAATATTCGAATAAAATAATTTCTCCCCAATAGTTCTCTCACAAAGAATTTTAATCATAACACAAATCATGGTTCAAATACACTTTCTAAATAGATTGTAAAAGTAAACTTTTATTGTAAAAAGAAATAGAAAAAACAAAAGTTGCAATGATTATATGAAAAAATAAACATTTCATTACAACAAAATAAATAAATAAATAAATAAACATTTCTACCAATAACAATTAAATATCAAATTTCTCGTATGTTATACTTGTTAGGAAATTTACCACAAAGTATAGCATATGAGAAATTTAGTACAATAAATATCATTTCATTAGAGAGCATTTTTTACAACTCAAATTTTAAATTTGTAATTAGGACATCAATTTATTAAATTTACAATTAGAACATCAATTATAGCATTGCATTAGAAATTATATTAATGGGTCATTTAGTAAAAATTTTCTTGTTTGAGATCACTTTTGATAGGATAAACACTACATGAAATTAAATTTAGTACATACATATTTAAGGTTTGGTTAATTAAGAGGGGAAAATATAAAAAAAATCGAAAAACTATATGCATTTGAAGTAAAAAAAATTAAAACTTCAGGGGTAAAAACAATTTTCTAAAAAATCCAGGGGACATATCAAATAGGAATAGGAATATAATAAAATTGTGATTTTTTTCTTTTATTTGAAAATAGGAATGCAAGATGTTTAAAATGTAATATCAAATATACTACAAGAGACGCTTGGAAATACACATAGTCAATTCTTAGAAGAAGAAGACAAGTAAATGCTAAAAATTATTATTGAGAAATAATATTCTTTAAACTAAAACCTAAGAAATAAGATTTTTTAAGAAAAGAAAACTAATTAATATGTTTAATATTTTGAGGTGTAAATAATTACAAATAATAACAATGGATCTTGAGCCGAAGTTGTCTTTCTTTCTGTTTCCCTAAGAAGGAAAAAAATAAAAAATAAACCTTATAATGGACCAAGGAAAAAAAAAAACTGATGATTTATTGTGGGTCCCACAATTCCCAACCTATACTAAGGTAACACGTGGATCCAACTAGATTAATACTGAAAGATTTAATTAATGAATTTAAAATTATAATTTATGAATTTAAAATCATAATTTATAATTTTAATTTTAAAAAATTTGAATTTTTTATAAAAAAAAAAAAACACTAAAAAACTAAAAACATTATTCAAAATTAAGCACGAATTCTTAAAACAGTCCCATTACATCTTCTCCAAAACGTCCTGATTCATCTACGGGCCCACCAGCTGCCCAATCAAGACCACCATCACTATCGAAAACACACAGACACACATCATCAGTCCCTGATTGATATCTCAAACGCACAAAACCACAAAAAAATATTTGGCCATAACGCGTCAATGCCTGGCAGATTGTGGCACCATCCACCGTCCTCTCGCACCATCTATCGCCGCGCGTCATAGCCCGCAATCCAATGGCTCTTAATATATATATATTTTTTTTTAAATAGAAAATCTGAGTTCCAATTTCGGCGACTTATCCCAAATTTTAACTTCCTTGCGTGGGCGTCAAATAAGCCGTAGAATACATAAAGAGTAAGCCGAAAGAGCAGGCAGACATTTTTACTTAAAAATTAAAATAAAAAAAATTGAAGTGCATTAAATTTGGTTGGAACTTGGAACCTTCACGCGCAGAGACATCCCACCGTCCGTTCTCACGTGAGATAGAGCAATCATAGCCGTCGCCTCATCTACCGCCTCCGGTGCTGCCACGTGTTTTGATTTGACGGAGAGTATTTTAGTCATATCACCTCCTTATAAATACTAGGAAAAATCTCTTTCCACAAATCCAGTTTGAAAGCCAAATAGCATTATTTCTTCTAGAGAAATTAGAAATAAATAAAAAAAATAAACGGAGTCTGCATCTCTGCGGGGACTTTTGAAAACACAAACAAGAAAGGGTGTTTCGCTTTTCGCGTTTCCATCCGAGTTTTGAGTTTCTGAGTTTCGAGAAGATAGGAGGAAACCATCCTCAAAGATGGCGTTGAACATTACTCACCAAGTAGCAACGCTCGCCGGGACCACGATTCCGGGGGAATCGGGCATATCTTCCCGTGAATCGACGACGACGACGATGTCCGCATCGGCGGTTTGGAAATCACCGGCGGCGACAAGCCGGAGATGCAGGGTTCAGAAGTCGGACTTTGGCGACGGCAGATCGTCGGTGTCGCCGCCGCTGAGTCCGTGCAGGTCTCGTCCTCTGAGCCCCTGCCGATCTCCGTCTCCGGTGAGCCCGCACGTTTCGCCGCCGCTCGGAGGGATCCGCCCGGATCTGTCGGCTGCATGCCTGGCGTTTGGGACGGAGCTGGAGGCTCCGACGGAGGAATTGGCGTCGGCGAGCGAGCACAGAGAGGTGCGGGCACGTGTTAAGGGGAGTGGAGTGCCGGTATACGTGATGATGCCTCTGAACAGCGTGATGATGAACCACACGGTGCATAAGAGGAAGGCGATGGAGATGAGTCTAAGGGCGCTGAAGAGCGCCGGCGTGGAGGGCATAATGCTGGACGTGTGGTGGGGTCTGGTGGAAGGCGACGCGCCGGGCGCCTACAATTGGGGCGGATACAAAGAGCTCATGGAGATGGCTAAGAATCTCGGCCTCAAAGTTCAAGCCGTCATGTCGTTTCATCAGTGCGGTGGCAACGTCGGTGACGATGTATTGTACGTCATTACCTTTATAATTGTTTTTAATTTTAATTTCTTCAAATTTTATTCGTTCCAAAAAAATTGTTAATGTTTATATTTAGTAAGCCAAAAAAAAAAAAAACTACAAATTTTTTATGGTGTTATGATAGTCTTAGATCGTATATTAAAAAAAAAAAATTGTTTGAGATCGTTGAAAAAAGATAACAGCTACGGAATTCAATAAAGGATTTTTTTTCACGAGGACAGAATCGAAATGCATATTTTTAAAAAGTACTTTAAAAATAACAAAACTTTATAGTAACTTTTATTATTATGTTTATACGTTTTATGTTACAAAATTATCAATTATGTACAAAATTACGTAATATTTATTATGTTATTAAAAGTTACATTGTATGCGTTTTTATATATTTCATCTGAGTCTATGGGATTATGCTATATTCTAACCCGCCTTATTAATTTAGGAATTGGTGGAAATATAATAATAATAATAATAATTTTTTTGAAATATCAACAATTGATTTTGTCTTTGCTATGAAACAATCTTGCTAATTAGATTCGTTTTCCTATGTTATTATTATCACGCGCTATAAAGAGGCTTAATCTCTTTTGTTGGGTTTGTTTGGTGTGATTAGTATTCCTTTGCCAAAGTGGGTGGTGGAAGAGATAGATAAAGATCAAGACCTGGCGTACACGGATCAATGGGGAAGGAGGAATTACGAGTACGTCTCGCTTGGCGCCGACACCATCCCTGCCCTCAAGGGCCGTACGCCTGTCCAGTGTTACGCCGACTTCATGCGTGCCTTCAGAGATAACTTCAAACACCTTCTTGGCAACACCATTGTGGTACTTGATTAGTTTGACTTTTTACCTATTTTCTTTCTCAACGTCATTTTTGTTTTGTCTAACGATTTTTTGACCACCATAGAGATTGTAATTGGCTGAACTTTCCGTGAATTCTTTTAGGAAATCCAAGTGGGAATGGGTCCAGCAGGTGAGCTTCGTTACCCTTCATACCCGCAGCAAAATGATCTTTGGAAGTACCCGGGGATTGGCTGCTTCCAATGCTTTGACAAGGTATTTTCATCCTAATTAATAAATTTGGAGTCTTAATTACTACGATCAGTTAAATCTAATATTGGTATTGTGCAGTGTACAGTTCTTATTTAATAAATTAGGAGTCATAGGACGACTAGGATTTACATCTTTAGTTTTTTCTTTCTTTGTTGTGGTTGTTGTGTTTGTGTCTTAAGCTGTTCTTTTTGTGGCATTGCAGTACATGATTAGCAGCTTGAAAGCTGTTGCGGAGGCTGCTGGAAAGCCGGAATGGGGAAGCAGTGGCCCAACTGATGCGGGTGATTACAAAAATTGGCCTGAAGATGCCCCATTTTTCAAGAAGGAAGGTGGAGGTTGGAACAGCCCCTATGGTGAATTCTTCTTGACATGGTACTCTCAGATGCTTATCGGCCATGGCGAGAGAATCCTCACCTCGGCCAAGTCCGTGTTTGAGAACACGGGTGTCAAGATCTCGGTTAAGATCGCCGGCATCCACTGGCATTATGGGACCCGCTCCCACGCCCCGGAGCTCACTGCAGGCTACTACAACACCCGTTCCCGAGACGGGTACCTCCCGATCGCCCAGATGTTGTCCCGCCATGGTGCCGTATTCAACTTCACCTGCATCGAAATGCGTGACTACGAGCAGCAGGGGGATTATCCTGGTGCGCTTTGCTCACCGGAGAACCTTGTTAGGCAAGTTGCCTTGGCGACAAAAAAGGCGCAGGTTCCCCTCGCTGGAGAAAACGCATTGGAACGATATGACAAGGATGCGTACGAGCAGATCCTGCAGGCGTCGTCCTTGAACTTTGAGGGTGCGTCCGGAGAGGAAGAAATGTGTGCCTTCACTTACTTGAGGATGAATAAAGAGTTGTTTAAAGAAGAAAACATTCTGCGCTTCATGGCTTTCGTGAAGAAGATGAAAGAAGGGAAAGGTGCAAACAAGTGTTTGGAAGAGGTGGAGAGGGAAGCAGAGCATTTCGTGCATGTTAATGTGCCTTTGATGCAAGAGGCTGCTGCTCTCATGCAGTAACCATGGTGTGTGTATAGTACTATTAGGCAGCTTGTTTTACACGTCTTTTTTATCTTTTATGATCATCCAAAGGCAATAATTTGTTATTTGTGTACCTAAAAAAATTTCCCTGATTTCTTTCGGCAGCTCTTTTAATTATGCTGCGGCTTAGAGATGGGGATCCGAAGACCTGTAATTTCAACACTAGTAGATACTTTTTTCTGTATCACTTTCTTAATGGATTACGCGTTGAATTGTGTGATAATAGAAAATAATAATATATCTATCTGCGCTTGCCGTATTGGTTTTGTTTTTGTATGAGGCATTGATGCTCTCAGCTGATGTGTTTTTTGTCACCTGTTCTGGCCAAACCTTTCAAGCAAAGGCAAACGCAGATTTGTTTTGAAAGAGAGTTTCTTGAGGGTATTATACACAAACTGAAGCGATCAGTGAACACTTAAAAAGGTTGTTTTCCTCTTGTTGAACTTTTTCATGGTTGAAGCAGAAGTTGGCTGTTTTAAAAGCAATATGGGGAGACTTTTTTTAGCTTTGCTTAGAAGGGTCCCATCCAAACAAGGCTAATTTATCAATTTTCTGATACAGTGCAAACTCATAACTTTTAATTCTCCTACAGTATTTTTTTATTTTAAAAATTGTAATTAAAAACCCTAATTTGACTTTAAATCCATATAACAAACGAATCCTAAGTAAATTAGACCACTTGGTTTCCAATTTTGGCTCTCTCCATTCTTTGGTGAAGCACAGATCCTTTGTCAAGATGGCATGTTCATCTCACAAATGTTATAACCACAGCGTCGCTTTCTTCATCTAAATTTTAGTCCCTTCGGCTTCATTATTTTTGTTGCCTCTGTTTCCAGTGAATAAATTAACGAAACACGCTTTGCAACTTTTTCATTATTACTCTTTTCTCTTTTTGAATTTTTTTCCTATGAAATGACGTTGTTACTCGTTTGACATACTCATTTTAGGGTAATAAATGAAGTTCAAATTGCTAAAAATTTGAGGACTTCTTTGACGAGGTATGACCAAAAAAAAAAAAAAAGAAGAAAAAACTTACTGATAAACTTACTGATACATACAATGATACACATTTTTAAATTATCAGATCAGATAAAAAATTTTACATTAGATACAAGGTTAAGGTGAATTTGATTTTGGAAGCCCAAAAAAAAAAAAAGGGAAAAAATATATTGGAAACAAAAAAGCACACAAAACATGCCACATGATGTTCACCAACATTTATCACTATCCTCATTTTCTGTTCAAACTCCTCTAGTTTCTAAAAAGGCAGCAGAAACAAAGACAAGATAGGTTTTCAAAGGCACACAAGTCACGTGTATTGAACTTGAAGCCTATGCTTTGAAGAAGTCTTGATTCACGAGATTCACGAGCAGTAAGAAAGTTGTGAAAATCACATGTAAGGGAGGGAAATGTGTTGCCCAAAATGCAATATCTCTCATTTTGCCTAATTGCCATCTTTTTTTTTTTTTTCCTGGCTAGATCACAGATCCTTTGTTGTCTAATCCTTCCACGATTCATTTCCATATGAATTTTGAACGTTGTTGTCATAGATACTTTATTGCAACACGGTTCATGTATGGAGTTTTAAAAGACTAGTAGACAATATTGTTAGATTGGAACAAGTTATGGTGGGATGGGCAACATTAACCAATTTAATGCCCATCAAGTTCATTGCACTGAGGAAAGGTGCTCCAAAAATCGAAGCAAATTCATGAGCTCGTTAGTTGGTATCTTCAACTGGAGCTTTCTACGTTAAGGGTATTTATGCATGACTCTGACGTTAGATTTGATCAAAGTTGCATCAAAATTAAAGAGGATGAAAAAAAAAAAAAAAGATATAACCTAATGCAAACTAATAGTCTTGAGATAGAGCCTTTCCAATACGGTATTTTTATACCCTACAGTATTTTTTTTTTTTTTTTTTTTTTTTAGTTTTATTTTATTTTTAGTTTTTAGTTTTATTTATTTATTTATTTATTTTATCATGCTCAAGACAACATTTATAGTTCTTAACATAACCGGCTTTTAGTCATGTCACAAATTGATCAAATTGTAATGAGAAATAAGTCTCATTCCCACGTGAGTTCTGAACTATTGCATGGTGAAACATTGATTGTATCTATAAGATTAAAGAAAATGAGACATATATCCCTTAAAAAAATGTATGTATTGATCTTAGATTTTTACTCTTTATTTTTAATTAATATTCTTTAGTCAAAAAATTATATTAATAAGAAATATATTAAACAAGAATAAAAGATAAAAATCTCATAAGAGTGAGACTAATTTTCTCATAAGATTAGGAATGGTGTTATGTGGATTTAAGATCCAATATTGATGAGTATGGTCCAGATTAAGGGTAAAGGCCTTTAAGCCAACTGCGTGAGGCCCGAGGCCCCTTATTATTTGGATTATTACCTTTACACCTAGCATATTGAATATAGGGAGAAAGAAAAAAATATGTCAAGATTTGAGATGAATTAAAATTAATAGGTTAATAGTTTATATAAGTTAGTAAATAGGTTAAATTACTGTTTTCGTCCATAACTTGTCTGGTTATGAACCATAACCTGATAAGTTATTCCTGATTTTTATCCATAACTTGTCTGGTTATGAACCATAACTTGACAAGTTTGTTTATAACTTATCTGGTTATGAATCATAACTTGACAAGTTATGCCCTATTAATTTCTATAACTAAAAGTTAGCCTATATACTTTCTTAAACTTTTCATATTGGCATATTTCCTTAAATATATTCATTAATTTTCTTAAAAAAAAAAACAAAAAATCTAATACTTCTTAATATTAGTTTTTCACATTTGCGCATTTTTTCCTTTCTAACAATTGATTAAATATTGTCAAACTTCACTCGTTATTTGAAATATTTTTTTAATCCTTTTTCGAAAAACTGTTTGGCTTAAAACCAAGAACAAAAGGAAAAATAATTACTTATGCTCTGTTTGTTTTGAGGGTTCTGACTTGATTCTGGATCATAGTTCTTAATTCATTACAGTATTTTTTTCTTATAAAAAATTTAAATTTTAAAAATCAGAATAATTAACCATGATTCTGAACCCTTTAACCAAACGTCATCTTAATGTTATTATAGTTACTGATTAATTTTGTTGATGCAGGATTGACACGTGCACTAAAGGATGACACGGCACGTGAGAAGTATACAAGTAAGCGTAGAATGGTAGTGTTTCCTCTAAATTTTGCTAATACTGGTTCCTAAACAAAGTGACGTGGATGAGAATTATGAATGGCTATAAAAATAATAAACTATTACTAAATTATTTTATCAAATGCCAACCATACAAAATAGCCAAACAAAAGAAATACATGTTGGATTCTTAAAGCAACGAAACTAAAAGAAATCACGGAAAATATATTTGATTCCGTTACATACTCTCCATTTCTCACTTTTGCCGACTCATTCATTTAGTTATATGTTAACCCAGGGTCAATCCATTTTCGTTGGTTTGCTACCCATTCCTCATTCCTTACCAATCCATTTCGCTGGTTTGTTACCTATTTCTCATCTCTTGCCAATTCATTTGCCTATGTAAAGTGTAGAAGGTGGAATCTACAGTTGAATTTATACAAGATTAGTGACCGAAACTAAGCAGAGAATTATGGCCTATTTAGTTTGCTAATTCGAGTTAAAATGTAACTTTATGTGAGAGTTTATTACTGTAGTAAAAAAGTTAGATGTGACTATTTCTGAGAGCTTTTTACTGTAGCAAAACTCGAATCGGTGAAATGAACGGGGCCTTAGTATCTTGTGATAATTAAATAAATGTAGGAAAATAAATAAAGAGCAGAGATGTAGAGAATTAATAGTGTTTTTCCCGATAAATTATGGTACGTCCATTGTAAAGTCTTTGGTGGGCTTCCGCTATAGTCAATGATGAATTACAATGCAGTTGAGAAAAAAGTGAAAATAGAGGAGTGAAATTTGATGAATGACAAGGAAAGCAAAGGAAAATATGCCTAGAACTCTGCTAAAAGTGCTCCGTGGTGCCTTGGATTCCCCCCCTGAATCTCCATTGGATAAGGTCTCCTATTTGAATTATAAGAGGAAATATCCGGTAAATAAACCTAAAATTCGAATATTTAATTTAGGAATGAGGTAATCCCTTTAAGATAGATTTATGAGTTTTAAATATGATTTCCCCTTGATTTTGTTGGATAAAATTGTGTCCTTATCCCTGCGGATAAGTTGTGCGCCAACTCATTTGGCAGTCAGACAGCTCGTCTAGCGAGTTGTCGGGTGGTTGAGTCACAACTCATGAGTTGTCAGAAGCTCGCGACTCAATTTCGATGTGCTAGAGCTATGCCTTTAGGTCGTTCCTTGATGTGAGAAGCCATAGACATAATTGCTGGCTTTGACATCTACTGGAGACTCGTCTGACGACACGTCAGGCCGTCAGCTGTCGGTGGCTTGTTGTTGGTTCCATGGACCAATTTTATGATAAATCCTCATTCTTTGAGACATACGGCGACGCGTGTATAGTGAGACATGAGGTACGAATTTGACCTCAACATAAGGCCTTCACACCATTTGTTTAGGGCATTCACTTCAGAACAAAGAGGCATGCAAAATGAAAGCATTACTCTAGCCGTGCCATACAGATAATTGAAACGATACAAATGAACAAAAAGAAACAAGCTTGCATTGAGAAAGAGAAGCAACGTGTATTAGAGAGAGGAAAGGAAGGAAATAAAGTCCAGAAGGAGAACTTAGATATTCTAGTAATTAAAATTCTCAATTAATTAGGAGATAGCCATTTTCACCCCTTTAATTCTCTCCACGAATTTATTGGTTCCCAAAACGATTTTGGATGCGGAAACGTGTATAAAAAAAAATTTTCATAAAACTTTGAAATACTCTATAGATTATATTAATTTATGCATGAATAAATTAATCAAATTAATTTATTTACCAAGCGAACGATTAGGTCTATAACTTGAGTTTTTTGACCACGAACGTTCCTTACTCAAAACTAGTTTAGAACACCCGAATCTTCTACGTCAATTCCTAGAATCTACGAGGTCGTGCATGTGGGCACACCTGAAATAAAACAGGATTAGTAAATAAACACTCAAGTTTTTCACGAACACCAACACATGCACGATGTGGAATTTAGGAGAGATTTTTTTTTCTTTCCACACTCTATAAAATTTGGCCACCTATGCTAGGGAGAGCCAAAAAAAATTGTGTTGTCCAATTTTCTGCAATCTCCTATTTATAGAGTAGTTGTCAGACTCTGAGTAGTTGACAGTTAGGTCGAGGCTCAAAAATTTTCTCCATAAAATTATCATGGAGTTTATTGTCACCTAGCAATTGGGTGACAGCTACGCTGGGGAAATCCTATGGAGACCGCAGAGGGCCTTCACGAAGGGATGGAAGGGCAGAGTTTGCCCGAAGTTGAGAGTGCGAGTATACACGGTCATGTGACCGGCTGGGGAGTTGTGAGCCCTGTCGTTGGGGGTCGGGACGATCAGATAAAAATTCAGGGGGTCGATCCCTGCATTGGTGAATGCCCTCATAGCAGCTTGGGGCTTGATCTTCGACGGGTTGACATATGTGGTCATTCCCGAGAGTGCACTGGTCGAAGCTACCCCATAACCTCGACCCTCTGAAGGGCCAACCTGTAGGTCAACATCCTCATCGTCGAGGAGTATTAGCGCGTTTGGGTGAGAAGCCGAGGCTGATGCCTCAGCATACTCGTCCACCTGACGCAGCAGGGTGTCCCCGCTTTCGCCTGAAGATGTGCTCAAAGTCGCAACATCCTCAGGATCATCTCTGACCCTGCCTGCGGAGACCTCTCGACCTCTAATCTGCTTCGGTGACATGTTCTGAGAATAAGCAAACAAGGGGGACGAGTTAGCTCCTAACGGTTGAGAAGTCAAAAGTGCAGTGTAAGAAGAAAAATAGACTGCGCCATGAGTCAGAGAGACCCAGAGCCGAGCTCGAAGGTCTCAGGCCAAAACAACTGCGCCCAAACGGATTAGGCCGTGCAGGCTCAACCTCCGGCTCATGGCCGGCACCACCAGGTAAGTGCATCTCCCCTATTTATAACGCGTTTTGGCTTGGTTTTGCAGATACTGGAACCAAACTCACAAAAAGAACGAAGGAAATAAGGGCTTAGCAGATTTGAAGAACGCCTGAGTCTGAAGGCAAAAACGAGCAATGCGCGGAAGGATGCACGGAGATGAAAGTTTCTGGTGAAAATCTGGCAGAGTAACGGTGTCCTGAAGGCTTAGTGACCAAAGAGCTGCGGACACAAGGGCATATATATATACGCCCGAGAAGGAGCCCAGGGGTCCCCGAGGAGTCCAAAGGACTCCAAATCTCGACCGTAGAATCTGATTCGGTTCAATCTGACGGTGGATCCGAGAAGGTGCGATCGAATGGTTAGGGAGAAAGCAACGGGAGCAGGACTTAATCGGACAGCTGCGATTCATCCTCCCAGTACCACGCGGCGTCAGGAAAGTAGAGACGTGACTATTGACGCGATCGACGTGACCGCTCCACTGCCCGAGGAACCAACCGCAATGATGCACTATACCGACACGCGGTAGCCCTTACCCGCAGAAAAGCCTCTCCCACATGGTGCTCTCGATGCCGTGTAGCCAGGAAAGTCGCAATGCGGCATCCCAGTCTAGGGGGGTAATTGTTACACGATGGTCGAGGATCGACCACTCTCTCGAACGACAGGCGCCGAGGACTCCCTGTTGAGAATCGGTCGCTGGCGTCGGGGGAACAGCTGCAGCTAAAGTGCCCTTTACATCGAGAGACCATACGTGGCGAGCACCATGACTCGACTTGTGGAGGCCATTGCGTCGAGGTAGCACGTCCAGTCAAATCCATCAATGGTCTTGTCAACTCGGGGAAAGAAGTACTGTTCCAACTACTGCTGCGGGAGTTAGGAAATCAGGCGGCAAATGAGAGGGATCAGCTGCATTTCCCGAGGTTGCCATCATGAAAACACACCTACTCCACCCGTAAATCGAGGAATTGAAGATGGCTTCCTCCTTGGGAACGGGGAAGGGATAATCGCATGTAAAGGCCTATAAATAGAGCCAAGAAAATCGATGAAAGGGGTTACGCACTATTTCATTACTCCAAGAGAGTTTGTAATCCCAGAAGATAGTAGTGCATTCACAAGTGGATTAGGCAAAGAGTTCTTGCCGAACTACTATAAATCTCTGTCTCATTTGCATAATTTCTAACTTTAATCCTTAGTTAAACCGCGAGTGTTATTGAGAGTGTCTCTAGAGAGTAAATCATTCGTTGTCGGAAAAACACCGTCAACATAAATCTTTTACAATCTACCAATCCATACAGTACTATCATTCAATTCAATGGATATTAAATTTGGATTGGATTGAATGATTAGATTAGCCTAGGCTTTCGTCCAAACTTAGTAAAACCTACTAAATTTTGTGAAACTTATTCAAAACGATAAATTCACATATTTTCAAGACAATTTAATGCCCTATCATTCAGTTATCAACTATCCTTAAAACCAAAATCATCAAACATAACATACAATATAATAAGCTTAAGTTCATACAATACGATTCTTGTTCAAATTAAATAACAAACAACGAGAAAAAAAGAGATAAATAGTAAAACAATAGGCGTCATTAATGACCAGCAAAACAATGAGAATCTGAGACGATGTGGTATTGTGGTATTAAGGTTTTGACGTTTAATTTGTTGATTTGTTCAATTGAAATAATGTTTTTTTTTTATCATTTTTTATATTCTAAAACTTTCGGTAACTATATATTATATGATATATATTATATTCATAAAACACTATGTATTATATGTAATAAATATATTGGATTGGATTAGTTTTTTTCTTGTTTTTTTTTTTTTTTTTTTTTTTTTTTTTTTTTTTTTTTTTAAATTTGAATCCAACATCTACTAATCCAATCGAATTAATGAAAAGATCTTCTAAATCCGATCTAAGAGTGTACAAATATCCCTTTTTTAGATGGATTGGATTGGATTAGTTGAATCAATTAGACGAGTAGATGGTATATCCACCCCTTAAGTTTGCTATAACATAGAGTATCGAAATGATTTTATATTAAAAATAAAAGGTAGTTAATATTTTATTATTTATTCTCCTCACTATTTTTATTATCCTATTATATTAATGATTATCATTGTTATTACGTTGGGGTTTTTGTCGCTTTCATTTTTGTTAAGAATTTTTATGATATTATGGTTTTTGTTACTTACACTCTTAGCAATAAGATGTTTTATATGATAGGAAATAAAACAAAATAAATGTTGGGAAAGCTAATTAAATCACTAAAAAAGAGAGAACTTCAAAATTGTCCTTGCTACATTGTTGCAATGTGGTTAATTTTGTAGATGATTGTTAAATTGGTGATGGAAAATCACAAATGATCAACATTTCAAAATTCCAATAGTGAATGTAGGCATATTATCGATCCGCGTTAAATTTTCTATGTTCTATTTTTCTTTTCAATTTCTCATTAAATTTTAATTAACAAAAAACCTTAACTAATTGAGTTCTACATCGCATAGAGAAAACATAATTGATAATTGGTTCCTCTATTTAAAAAAGAGTTGTGATAATATATGCAAGTGTAATTATTTAAAATATCTATATAAGATTTCGCGTAAGGCCCCCTAATAATGTTGAAACGGCTCTGGTATGGCTAGTCTTTACTCGAAATATATTCTTAAAAAATGCTTACTCTAAATATCATACTTTTAATTTTAAAAAGCTGTAGTAAATAGTCCCCTTTCTTTTTCATTTGATGAATGACCGGATTTACCGGCAATTGATAGAGTAATCAAATTTACTCAATAAATATAATATTTGTAATTACAAAATGAATTTACCTTAAAAAAATGAAATTTATCTCTTTTTTTTTTCTAATCAAGTGAAATTTACCTTAATAAAAAAATATAAATTTATAAGAAAAAAAAAATCATCATTTTTTACATACTAGCAATTAACTACGGTTTTATTGTTTATTGTTATATTTTTTGGCTATAAATTCTTAAATTTAACGTCCTCACATGGTAGTAAAAATACGTTAGCTTTTCATGGATGTAAAACTAATTGAAGCTTGGTAGTTAGTCATTCCTAATTGCATGCTTTCTCCTCGGAGGATCTTATATTACTATTCCAAAATTTTACCTATGCACAAGCAAAATTTTAAGCTCTTCAAGAAACTCGTTCAACAGTGACACAGTCAGAGCTAAAATTCAACTTCCGCGTGTCATTCCTTTGTGGCCTCATAACTACTATATATACACATGTTTACAACTAAATCAGCTAAAACAGTTAGATCATTAAAAAGATAAGGCTACATTTTCCCAAGTACTATACTTTATTTTTTTTTTTAAATTTTTTCTCCTGAGAAAATATGTCTAGCATTCAGCAAGAGTTCAATGCTGGCCAAAACCAGGCCCACACCCAGGTACGAAACGAAGTATAAAAAAATTAAGAAATCTGTCCTCTTAATTCGTCTCTTTAGTTTTGCGTCATTTTCTTATGATCATTCTAGTTGTTCTTTAAGTTAATATGTTATAGAAAAAATAAGGCATAAAGATTTTCTATAAAAAGAAGAATATAAATTTTTATACCCCTCACCAAAAAGAGGCCTTCCTCTAGAATTTTCAAAAATATTTCCAATTCATTTAAAGTTATAACTTTGATAATATATAATATATTATTCTCAATCGTTTCTTAGCCCTCTATTTGAGGTTTTCTATAACAAACATGTTAATTTGGGTTTTGTAGGCTAAGACCGAAGAGTTGGCGCAGTCCATTAAGGACTCAGCAAATGAAGCCGAAGAAAGGACAGCTGAGGCAGCTCAATCAGCTTCGGAGTCTGCCCAGCAAGGCAAGGACCAAACCGCCGGATTCCTTCAGCAGGTTGTCATCACTATTACCTTTTTCAAAAAACTCTCGTTTGTTTACAACTACAAATTATTCAGCTTGTTCGTTTTACTGGCATTTTTTGAACGAGTTTTAAGGTCATTTTACCGATTCGAGTTTTTAATTCTAGATTCTACAGTTAAAAACTCTCAGAAAATGTCATATTTAATTTTTTTTACTACAGTTAAAAACTCTTAGAAAATGTCACATCTCAACTCAAATTAAGAATTTGAATCCGCGAAGCGTACGAGACCTAAGTGTTTAGAAAATTGATTAAATTGTATATTATTCCTTTTTTTTTCTTTGTATTTGTATTTGGTCCTTCCAGTCCGACACATTTACATACTAGAAGTAGGGGCATAACTTGATATTTTTTTTAAAACAAAATAGTAAGTTTATTGGTTTAATTGAGGAACCAACGCCTCCAAATCTGTTGGCTTATGTAAGGAACCAACACCTATGAATATAACTAAATAGCTGAATCATTCACTTGTTGCGTGTATTCAGTGCTTGATAAGCTTTTTTTTTTTTTCCCCCCCCCGGGGAGGAAACGAACAAAGCACAACCAACTAAACTTATGCCCATGTCTTCCACATGCATGAAAAATGCTCCACCAAAGCCACATTTCACTGCAACACTGTAAGTCATTATTACATAAACCAAATGTCATGTTAGACCTTGTACTTTCATATGTTATATGTAACACTTGTCTGAAGCTAATGTTATTTGTTTTTATTTTTCTTAAGTTTTAGCGTTAGTTGTTCCTTTATTGTATTCTTAAGAATAAAAAAAATGCGCATTACTCCAAACCCCATCATAATAGTACAGTGTTTAATGTGTGTCTATATACTAATTTTACAGACTGGAGAGCAACTGAAGAACGTGGCTCAGGAAGCTGTGGACACCGTCAAGGGCACACTTGGAATCAGTGAGCAGAAGTGAAAGTCCACACTCCAATTTTGTTTTTGCTGCAGGCTGATACTTCAATGGATTTTCGCCTTGTAGCAACAATAGTTTTTGTTTATGACTTTTCCCTTCATCATTAGATTCAACCAATTTTTTTTTTTTTTTTGTTTAAATTTTTCAGATTGAGATTTCTTTTTTGAGAAAACTCCGTAGTGATCGGTTTGTAACAAGTCTCAAATTATACTATGATATAGCAGACAAAAATAAAGGTTCCACCTGCAATACAAACTCAATCTAATGCAAACAGTGGTTTATTTCATATGATTCAAATATATTCTCTTTAGTTACCTATTCCTACGATGAATATATGTGATATTTATGCTATTTTTGTCACATCTCTATAAAATGACCACACTGATATATATTTCGTTAAGGAACAGCATAGTTATATTAAAGACTTTTTTTATACCCAAAATGATAATAATTCTTCTTGAATTTTTTTATTTCTCTATATATGGTTAAATATCTTAAATTTTAATATATTAATATTTTTCTAATATCGATTTTATCCTTATTTCGCTTAAGTAGAAAGAATGTGATAGACAATTTGTTGAATTTGGTGATCTTTTCTTAAAAGTAAAAATGCTGTCTTTAGAACGTACACATGCCAAATCAAACCACGTGCAAATTGTGTTTTATAAATTCATAATTATAATACCATGACCATATATCATGTTCGTGCTCCCTCAGCATGAAGCATCAACTTGTTAGTGCTGTCTCAGTCAGCTTTGATGGATGTCACGTTGCTCTATGATCAGTCCTCGGTCACGATTGATGTGGCAACGGATGGCTGTTGGTTACTCGGTACACCATCACATGCGCCAGACACGAACCGAGACTCTTGACTACCCCAACTCATCCCATCAGGGTGCTTAAATGCGACCCCAAGTCAGGCAGGGCAACCCTAGACTCCGCTGAGTTTAAGCATATCAATAAGTTGAGAAAAAGTAACTTATAAGGATTTTCCTATAGTAACAGTGAGTGAACCGAGAAAAACTTTGGTTGAGAATTGAGCGTCGTCAGAGTTCAAATTGTAGTCTAAAGTAGCGTCCTCAGTGGTGGACCGAGCCTAAGTTCCCTAGAAGGGGGCGTCGGGGAGGGTGAGAGCCCCATTGTGCCTCGACGTCATCTTAAGTGTCGTGTCGTCATTTCCTGAAGATAGACGACATATTTCAGCGTTCTTATGGACATAATAGAAAACAATATAATGTTGTTCCCGAGTTCGGGGAGGAACATATGCATGCCATACTTATAGATCCTAAGAATGGAGGGTACAGTTTTTAAGACATAAGGGTGCTTTCGTAGCATGCATTCAATTGATCAAACCAGAGAATGAATGATTAGTTCAACAAGTGATTTAAAAGTATTATAATGCCAGCCTAAGTTAAGAGTTAAGAATGGTAATCAAGATAATAATGAAATGATACATTAAGATGTTTGATTAGTAATAGAAGAACATAACAAGTGAATGGCTTGTACGAAAACTAATAATTATAAATAATAAAGTATTGAGAGCATACCAACTTAAATAATAAATAAAGGAAAATTTATTGAAATTGATTCAAGAGTATACTGGATGATGACCAGTTTGTAGGGAGACACATTTTGCTGGAATAAGACCAGTCTTAGAAAATAAACAAATGCTGAAAGTGAGACCAATCTTTGAAAATAAATGCTGGCAATGGGATCAGTCTTAAAAATGAATAAGTGCTGGAAGCGACCAGTCTTGGAAAATAAGCGGTTACTGGAAATGAGACTTGTCTTCAAAATAAATAAACGCTGGAAATAACCAGTCTTGAAGATAAATAACTGCTGGAAATGACCAGTATTGTAAAATAAACAAATGCTGGCAAAGACCACTTTTAACTAGAAAATAAATAAGTGCTAGCAATGACAGGTCTTAGAAAATAAGTAAATGCTGTAATGACCAGTCTTAATCGGAAAAAAATAAGTGCCGGCAATGACCAGTCTCAGAAAGCAAGTAAATGCCGGTAATATTAGGAATGATGTCCTAAAAACATGAGATGTAATAAAAGATATTATTATTTATTTGATAAATGAGAAATTTCATTATTTATCTGCAAGCATTATTGAATACTTTATGAATATCATTGAAAATTTCGTGATTATTTATGTGACCTTAAATATTATATATAAGTTATATATGAGAAGATAATATTTAAGGATAATAATCGAAATGTGTTTATAATGAATTTAATTAAAGTTTTAAAATCTTTAATTAAAACATTACTAATACATGTCATTCCCATTAAGAATAGAACGATGTTATCCGCACTGTTAACATAGAGGATATTGGATCAGTGTATTATACATAATGTGATTATGTTTTACTGTGACACAGACACAATTTGAATTTGTGTTAAATGTAGAAATTCAAATTGAGTGTACCGATGGTCATATATAGAACGATCTTAATCTTAAGTTATTAGTAGACTCCTATTTATAAATTTGTGTTTTTTGACTTACTCGGTGCAGGTTTCGAGATTGCTAATATCTATTCCTTGTATCTTGGAGACATAATGAAGTGGGAGCCGGGAATGTTGATGTACGAGATAAAGTCCATTCCTTCTTAAATAAAGAATTTGATAAATCATTCCCCTGAGTGTTGATTTGGTATTTGGATCAGTAGGAGCTCCGGTCGTGAATTTATTTTATGAATTGCTATCCATTAGAGAATTAATGGTATTCAAGAATAAAGATGTAATTAGAGAGGTTAACGGATTTCACCTATGTAATGTCCAGAAAAAATCCATAAAATTAATAAGTAGAATTAATTATGGATTTTCCATAATTTTGTCTATAAATTCATAAGAAAATATAAGTACAGAGCTTATAATATTAAGCTTCGGCATTAGTAACAAGAAACGATTATAAGAGAGATAAGGTTAAATGTAGAAAAGTCAAGTTAAGATGGTAATTAGTCTAAGAAATAATTTTTACACTTGAACAGTCCGATTGTATTGCACGATTTAGATTCGAAATCGGCATTAAATTACTCAGAGATAATATCAGATTGTACTTAGTAGATTAATTTACGTCAACTAAATTAATTACCTCCAATTGGTACAAATTTTATCTGTTTGGAGGGAATCTTTGAAGATAAAATCAAGGGACGAGATTTGATATCAATTTGAGGAGATAGTTATTAAAATTATTAAGATACTTCACTTTCTCTCTCCTCTCACTTTCTCTCTCATTCCCCAATATCTCTCTCTCTTTCCATTTCTCTCCATGCCAGCCACCATCTCTGATAGAGATTTCGACATCATTTTTCGTAACCTCCCTCACCATCGTGAAGCTCTCGATGAGCTGAGCATTTTGACAGGTCACACGACCTCCAACTTCACTGAAATCAACCGCAAACGCCGGCTGAAGTTTTGAAAACAATTGAAACTTCCAATCACGATATCTTCATCGTCTGACATCCAATCAAGTTGATTCCAGATCCTATTGATTCAGAATGAAGAGACAAAGAAACCCCACCATTTTCCTAGCTCATCACTGACCGAACGCTGCCGTCGAAGTCGCCAGAAAAGTTGCTCACCACCACCTTTAGTTTTCCATCTCCGGCTAGTTGGGGTTGACACCACCCTCACTACTAGGTTCAGAACTCAAAGACGAGTTGATCCCGACTAGTTTTAGCCTCCACGTACCCGTTTGGCCTGAAAATGGAGCCGCCCCGCCGTCCGAAGAGGTAAGGGCTGGTTCCTATGATTTGACCATTGGATCATCGTAATTTTGGTGTCAAAACACTTATAGGATCATGAGTAAGAAAACTCCTCAACCAATTTTAAGATTTCATGACCGGAAATGTGAGATTTGAACAGCCAAATTTTACTGACGTTGTCGGTCCCGATTTGCACTGTTAGAGGCTGAATTGTGTGAAATTGACTGCACCAATGGACTCAGAATGGTTGATTTAAGGAAAGGGGGGGGGGGGGGGGGAGTGGCACGTAGGCCCGCCGGGAAAAACCCCTCCGATCATCGCCGCCGCAAGTGGCTAGAATGGCGAGGTGTCGTTTCTTAGGCTACTGACCTCCATTTGACGATTTGAGACCATATCCTAACTCGTTTTGATGTACTGAATACAACGGTGATCTTTGTTCGTGCTAATTCTACTCCGGTAAAAAGTCAATCGGTACGAGTGTACGAGGTTTGAGGCAAAATAAAACTGAGTTGCTGAAACTCAGAAATAAGAAAGAAGACCATATCCTGACTCAATTTGATGTGCTAAACGAAATGGTGAGCTCCATTCATACTAGTTCCACTCCATTGAAAAGTCAACCAGTGCGGGTGGATGCAGATCGAGGTGAATCGAACGGATTCGTTAAAGTTCAAAATTGGATGTCTAATGCTTTAATGATTCTGATGGATCATTCATAGTGCTTAAGGTTTCTCCCATAACCAGTTTCAAGGTAGTATACAGTGTGACATGACTGGTGAAGTACTACTGAGATCGCTTAGTTATAATTGAGGCAAGTACAAACCTCGCCAACAGTTTAAGTAAGATACTCATTTAAAGCGTATGAATTTCACGAAGTACGTTAATTACGATATTCACGAATTATGATTTTTCTGATCCGTAGCAAAGGAAATATGTTATAAGAAAGCATTAAATCCTTTACAATTGTGCTAAAATTTGATAATGTAAGACAAGTTATCTTACACCCTCTGAATGGGTGTTCCTTTACAGAATTTAGCGGTAGATGATAATAGATCTAGGCGAGTAGAGGATTCTGCTTTACTGAAAACCAGGTAGGAAGGAATCTCACCCACAGCATGAAAACTACGGTTTTCAAATTAAAATGTTTTTTGATACGTCTAATAACTTACGAAAATGCATGATCAATGCTTGTCTTGTAATGTCATGAAAACGAAAGATGTCAAGAAGTATGAAACGAAAGAAAAGAAAGCACAATATGACCATAAGCATGAAAAGATAAGAAAAGATAAGA